TGAATCTGACATCCGCCCTGACATCCTCTGAATGAATTCGCTGCAAACCCGCTAACTGCACAAGGGAGAGCAACAGCAAAGAAGTAAGAACCAAAAGTCGCACCGACAGCTCTCCGCCTCGACAACACACTGCATCGTAGAGCGCAGGCAGCAGCTGCTGATACTATTGACTCTGAGTATCTATGGCTGTGTCCACTTGCAAATCTGGCTAGACTAGAACAATATCAGGAAGCCGAAGCTTCAGGTAAAGATATCTTACGTAGATTTCAATAGTATCAGCAGCGCATGCGCTTGGTGCCATCCTCACTGCCTCAGGACGGCTCAGTGGGAAGCTCTGAGCACAGCAAGCATGCTGCTAGCTCTGGCTGGGCAGGGGGTGCACTCACAAGGTTGGCTGCAACAGGATCGTGGAGGCTTCTTCAAAAAGTCAAAAAATACAGGCATCGAGTTCAGGGTAGGGATTCACACCTTCTCAGCATCTCACCAAAGAGCTTTGCGACTGCCAAGGAGCGAAAGCAAACTCGCAGCATCATTCGGTTGCGATCACGCGGCCTTTTGTCACAGTGGACGAAGAAGAAATTTCCCAGTTGTCTCTTCTTACCGACTTCAGGTTGATGTAAGCTTTGCAGGCTTCGGAGGTGCCTAGCTTTGTCAGGGGGTTTGAGACGTGTTGGCCTTGAGTCCCTGCGGCTTGCGACTGTCTCTTGCGTCCAAATGTAAAAGGTAGGGCATCTCGGACCATTCTGCTTCTGGGTACTGAGCGTTCGGGGCTTGTCGGTTCCGGGCTCATTTGCCAGGCATGAACGCAGGGAAATGTCATGCAAAAAATGTGGCAGACGGAATTCTGTGCTTGTTGGCATCTGCTTGAGACTTGGGCGGGGCTTGTTGGTTGAGAAAGAGTTCGGAGGCTTTAAGCTGAGGTTCAGCCTCCTCCGGAATCCCTCGGCTACCACCTCTGCGACCAAAGCCATGCAACCACAACAACTTGCAACAACACAACTTGTGACAAGGTCCTACCTATGTCGGTTGTAAGTCGTGTAGATTGTCCTTGAATCAGAATGCATACTTGCTGGCAGAAGGGAGAGGGCAGCCGCTATCAGTCGAAGTCCTGATGCTGCAGTTGCCGAGGCGTGCCTCCCTGTCCGTCCATGCAGGATGCATTGTCGGGTCTATCGTTCCACCAGGGAACATGTTGAGAAGCGCGGAAGCCGAAAACTCAGCCCAAACCCTACTGGACTTGAAAGGCTTCACAACGGTAAACCGAAGTAAAAGAAGCTGCGAGTATCTCGCATCTAGCAATTTTACTTTCCCACACTGAAGGTCAGGAAGTCACGTGCCAGAAGAACGAATTAAGCAGCTTTCTTAAACATTCTTCAAAAACGCAGGCCCAACAACTCCGGCAACTACAGCGGCCTCTTGCTTGCTCTGGCTGCGATCTTCCTTGGCCAACGGCCTTCCGGGCTTTCGGCTTCCGAGTGGGAGCTGGCTGTGATCCAGACCGTTAGTCTCAAAAAAAACCTTGAGCAGCTCATCGCTGGAAAGCAATCAAAAGAGAATTGTAAAAATCAAATGCAAGAATTAAACTTTGCTTGCACATGAACTATTTTGTGAAATATCTATGACAGGAATATGAAATGTGTTTGAATCGGCGATGTGAAAACTCTGAAACATGCAAGAATCATGAACCAGCGAATTTTACGTGACCAGGCTCATAAATCAAGGTCGCACTGTTTCATACTTACAGCTTATAGCTCTTTCGTATTTTTGCATATCATTTTTCTCATGCCATCTAACTTCATTTTTCATATCTATTTCATAAACCGACGCACGGATTGGCTCTGAGATTTTCTTAACTTTAGCAGCTCCCAACGACTATAGAGTAGAGCCCCCCATCATTGAATATTGCTCGGCAGGAGAAGGTTGACCGGTTAATGACCTTAGATAGTTACTCTAAGGTCTGCTGCTGTTCCATGACAACCGAACCTATCCCCGCCCGTCCGATCAACGCCCAAACCCTCCCATACCGAAGATTTTTCTGGACCAAACCCAACTACCATCGGGGAAACGATGACTTGAAGACACTTAGTTCGCGATAACCCCCCCCCCACCCCTTTTGAAGCACGATTTCTCAAATACTGAATGGGCCTTCGAGCAGCTCAGAACCACTAGCAGTCTGTCATGCAACTCCTCCACGCGAATGCTTAACGAATCCGAACTTCACCTGAGTTTCATCTGCAGCCGACCCTGCATTAAGCACAAAAGCACATGAAATGCGAGCATCCTATAAGCACTTCTCCCCAACCCGACCTCCGAGGTTTCTCTCAACGCCCCGTCGGGAAACACCCAGCCTCTCGCAAGAAGCGCAGCACTTCCTGGTGGCCCTCCTGCTCCGCGAGGTGTGCCGGGGTGTTACCATCCGCGTCCGTGACGCCCAGGTCGGCCCGCGCCTGTTCTGCATTGCAGCAGTTGGTCTTCCAACGTTGGGCGCGATTCTGCAGCATGGATAGGCTCAACAAGGCAAACCGAGAAGACCTCAGCGGCTGCAGGAATCACAGGCACAGGCCTCCTGCAATGACTGCAAAGCCTCCAAATGACCATTCCGTGCCGCTTGATGGGCAGGCGTCAGTCCGTCCTTCAAATGCCACATCATCCCTTGTGCTGGTACAGACAGAGACACCGAGTGACCGCTGAATCCGTCCTGTGAAGCTGCAGCCAGGTCCGCGCCAGCCTCTGCCGAGTGTGGCAACAGTGTGAAAGAGAGAGTGGACGCTTGCGCACAGCCTCTCATCTAACGAACTTCTAGTGGCGCCTAGTCTAACTGCCCTAGCTGAAACCCGCAACTGCCTATTCGTCATCCCTCTGCCCGCCAATCACTCCAATCCCATCTGTCTAGAGAAGCCTGCTGCAGTAGACGCAAAGCTCCGGATTGGCCGCTCTGCGCAGCGAGGTAGGCTGGGCTGATGCCGTGCTCGTCTGTGGCCCGCAGGTCCACTCGGGCCTGTGCGACAGCAACTCGGCAGTGTGGAATGTGGAAGATGGGTAAGGGGCTGTCGCCTGAACTTGCCAGATCGCTTGAGGGCCACCAATGTCAGCATACAGCATACGACTGTAACGACTCAGGTTGCATTGCCGAGCATCACTACCACGATGAGACTTGGAGACATACTCTGCGCAAGGCAAATGTTGACATGAGGGCAGAAGGCAGCACGACGTTGTCAACACGCTCAGAAGTCCTCTCCTAGCTCTCCGGCTCTCACGTGCTCTGTGCAGTCGGCAAACCGGCTCTCACGAGCAATGTGACCTGCAGACCAACCGGCAGAGGGCCTACAAGTCTGGTGTGGCTCCTACCTCTTGGCTGCATGCTTGATTCTTGCAACTGTTTGCCTTCGGCATGCCCCAGTCCAAAGTCAGTCTACTGAGCTTCCCAGAAACCCGGCGGCCTCCAGCAGCACTTGAAGAGCGTCCACGTGCCCTCTCTCTGCTGCCTGATGGGCTGGCGTCGTCCCATCGTGCATGGCGCCGATGAGTGTCTGGGAGATGGCCTCTGCGAAAGGGATTTATAGTCAAAACGACCCATTCTCGCGAGCCCATCAAACGCAACCGCGGAAAGTGAGGTTTCCTGTGAGCTTCTTGACTACTTGTGACTGCTGCCGGCATGCGTTTTTCTTGCTTCGGTTCACACTGCTGCTTTTTGCTTCTATCGGCCGTGGGACATCATGGGTCCCTTCTAAGTCCTCCATGGCCGCTCCTACTGCGCGGCCACCATGCTGATCAAAGCCACTTTGATGTTGGGTTTTGCATGGGGAGGCAACGGTCGGTTTGAGTGGCTAGGCATGGCCAGGCGCAGGGCTCGAAGACGAGCCACTGCTCACATAAAGAAGAAGAATCCAGAACTCTTCCATGCCCCGAGCTCCCTGCAGGCCTGGAGTTGGCCCTCGCTCTGTGGCGAGCGCTTGGCTGCATTCAGATCGGCCCGGGCCTGCGGCTACCGGGTTGGCTGCAGGTCGGGGCTTAGGCTCGTCTCGCTCGATCTCATTCGTCTGCCCCTTTCTCTGACGGGTTTGGGGGATGCAGTGAGCATTGAAAACACCCATGTTTCTTGCTGCCTCCCTGCGGATCATGCAGCTAAATGGACCCGTAACCGGCCTCGTGCAGCAGCCGCAGTGCTGCTGCGTGGCCTTCCCTGGTCGCGAAAAATGCCGGAGTCATACCGGCAATGTTCTTGGTGTCCAAGCTCACCTTGGCCTGTGCAAGCAAGCTCTCAACCGATCGAAGCCGCTCAGCAACCATCAGCAACCACACGGTTGCAGAGGCTGCCGTCTCGGCCTCCTGCAGAAGCCGGAGTGCACCGATATGCCCGTTGACGGCAGCGTAATGTGCAGAGGTTTCGCCAAGCTTGTCTGCAACGCTCAGGTCGGCATTGGCCTCCGGAAACAGCAGCGCAGCTCGCAAGATCGAGTTGCCGGGGCACTCAAAAGTCTTCTGCGTGGGCCATCTCAGAGCACAAGAGCTGAGCTCTTCAACTCCAGCCCTGATCTGATGATTTCGTGGCTTGGGATGCTTCGTGTCGGGCTTTCGTTGCAAGCTCCGGATCTTTCAGATGTTCTCTGAAATCTGGCAATGGCATGCATTCCTTGATGGGCCTGGACCTCGGCACCTGCGTGGAGCTCCGATCTGACTGATTTGTGGACTGAGAAACCTGATCTCTCGGATGCCCCACCTGTTTCGGTTTACCTGTGGCAGACCACTGTTCCGTTCTCTGGAGATGCCAAAATTACCTGCAAGATCCTGGGAGACTCAGAGATCCCGCGCGTGAAAAGGACGCAAGGACCGGACAACCCTGCGCGGAGAGCTCTTCCTGATGATTTCGTGGCTTCGGATGCTTCGTGTCGGGCTTTCTTTGCAGGCTCCTGACGTTTCAGATGCCCTGTGGGGTATGGCGATGGTGACAGGCATTAGTGTGCCGGGACTTCGGCACGACTAAGGCTGAGCAAACCACCCTAGCTGTAGCAGGTTGTAGCAATGACTTCTTCTCCCCTCCCCAAAGATGCCTCCAAATCCCCTGCTCGCTTCCTTGAAAAGAGGGCTCTGGAAGTCGGTGGCCCGGCCTGCAGGAGCAGCCGCAGCGCCTCGAGGTGCCCGAAGAGTGCAGCCCCGTGGGCCGGCGTCCTTCCGTCCTTCAAACAAAGAGCCACCGCGTCACTTTCCTTCCGCTCTTTCCAACTTATGCTCGGCTCAGGCCCGTCCTTTTTCGCTGCAGCGAGGTCCGCGCCAGCCTCCGCCCAGGGGCAGGGAAGGCAATGAGGGGAGACAAGGTTGAGCGCGCTCCTCTGACTCCACTTATGCTCACAGTGGTCTGTGCAATTGCGGCTACTTCAGATTCAGAGCGGAGCCTAAGCACTTGCTTTAAAGTTTCGCCCTGCGATCACTCTGCCCTTACCATTTCGGTGGACGTCTTCCGTATCAACAAAAAAACCATGCACTTCGCTGGGCCACTGAAGACATACGACCCGCTGGACAACTCACCACTCCGGCCTGGCGCAGGACCTGCAGAGCCTCGAGGTGGCCGTTCTGGGCGGCGAAGTAGGCGGGCGTGACGCCGTCGTCCCTGGCTGCGCCCAGGTCGGCCTTTGCCTGGCGCGAGACTGGTCTGCGTATCCAAACAAAGCGAGAAAAACGAGCTCCGGCCGTGGCGGCCCACGTTTTTGGGAGTTCTCGGTGCCGTGGGGATTCCCCGGTCAGTGAGAAGCGCCCGGCCAGGCCCGGAAGTGAAACACGCAAACACCACGCACATGCAGGAAAATCCTTCCCAAAGTATACAGACGTCTCTCCACCCCCCGACAATCTTGAGGAAGAGTTGCCTGGATGGGGGATGGCTCCGGGATTGTCCCAGGTTATCTGGGGTAATATCTTGCCGCTAGAAGTGCACATGACACCGAACAGAGCAACAGGAACTGCTGGAAGGATGATGCTAAAATCGGGAGGCTGAGCTATGCCCATGCTTTGAACTCTGGTTCATTCGCGAGATTGCAGGCTCCCGTGAAAGGAAACTCCGGCTATCATAGTCAATCAGTGCTTGCCAGACTCCGAAAAACACACATTTCCGGACCAAAAACAAAGCAAAAGACCAACTTTTCTCATACAGAATCAGAGAGGCTCTCGGGACTCTAGTCTAGGATAGGACTCCTCGACGGTTCCAGCTTCGAAGCGCGCGAGCTCCGCAAAAATCTCGACGGGACGCTGTCCATCCCAGGATAAGTTTGTATGAAATCCAAAACCCAGGGTTTGGCGCTTCTTGGCCTCAACGGCCTCCGGGCCTGGAGGCATCGCAGTATGGAGATCCGACGAGCTACGCTGACAGTATGGGGGGTCTTCGTCCAGAACCAGGCCTTGCCTGGAGCGCGGGCGTGCAAAGCAGATGGGAGGGCCATCGTCGCATCGTGGGTGTGGGAGTGGGAGCGGAGGGGGAGCAGGGGCCCGGGCCCACAAGCCGCCCCGGCGCAGCCGTCACAGCCGACCAGCTGTTTTTTCCACATAGGGTGCTCCCTCCCCTAAAAAACCGTCGAAGCGCCTCGAGAAGGGGGGTTGTCCGGCCGAAAAGCGGGGCCTCGGCTCCCTTCCTCTTGTCTTCCGCCGGCCTTCAACCGTTCAACGCGACAGAACCGTTTAGAACTCCATCGCGGCCGCTGCCCACAAAGCCAAGCGCACGTTTAACATCGCAGGTGCGAGCTCTTTCAACCCCCTCCCAGCCAATGTCTCGAGCAACTCGCACGACTCTGGTCTTAACTATCGGTATCGCAGATCTGCTTCACAGTTGCTTGCACAAACCCGATTGGAGAGGCGGGCTGCTTTTGGGACATCACATCTCAACATGCCTTCCAGACTGTTGGGGAGGCGGTGAACAGGACCAGGCTCCAAGCAGACCCGTCTGGCATTTGCAAAAAGGCTGGAAAGCGGAGACACGCGGCTGGCTGCACAAACACACGACAACAAGTCCAACACTAAAGGCGATAAAGCAACAACAGTCTTGTGGGATTCCGATGCTTTGCGGCAAGGCAAGCAACAAAGACCTTAACCGAAGTACCTGTAGTGGCCACCCCCGCAACCTTGACGCAAAGCTGCTTAGATTGGCGGGGTGGCTCTGCGACCTGGGCCTTTTGCACTATTCTTCAACTCCAGCCCTGATCTGATGATTTCGTGGCTTGGGATGCTTCGTGTCGGGCTTCCGTTGCAAGCCCGTGACCTTTCAGATGCCCTGTGGGGTATGGCAATGGTGGCGGGCATTCAGTGGGCCTGGACTTCGGCACGATTAAGGCACAGCAAACCACCCTAGCTGTAGCAGGTTCTAGCAACGAGCTTCTCCCCTCCCCAAAGATGCCTCCAAATCCCCTGCTCGCTTCCTTGAAAAGAGGGCTCTGGAAGTCGGTGGCCCGGCCTGCAGGAGCAGCCGCAGCACCTCGAGGTGCCCGTTCTGTGCAGCCCTGTGGGCGGGCGTCGTTCCGTCCTTCAAAGCAGAGCCACCACGTCACTTTCCTTCCGCTCTTTCCAATTTTTTGCTCGGCTCAGGCCCGTCCTTTTTCGCTGCAGCGAGGTCCGCGCCAGCCTCCGCCCAGGGGCAGTGCGTGGCAATGGACACTGCGCCCCTCTAACTCCACTTATAAACTCAGTGTGGTATGCGCTTGCGGCTACTTCAATACCAAATCGCTTGCCCTCAAGTTTCACCTGCCATCTGTTCTTCTACCAGCTTTGCCGCTGGGTCGTTCCCAACGTACAGACGCCTCTCCACCCCCGACAATCTTGAGGCAGAGTTGCCTGGATGGGGCAGCTTTGCCGCAAATTCCGTCCCAAAGTTCAGACGTCTCTCTCCACCCCCGACAATCTTGAGGCAGAGTTGCATGGATGGGGGGATGGCCCCGACTTTGGCCTTTTGCCCCGGCTCAAAAGAGCGAATCGAAGCTCTTCAACTCCAGCTCTGATTTCAATGTTTCGCGGATTGGGATACTTCGCGTCTTGCAAGCTCCCGATCTTTCAGATGCCCTCCAAAATCTGGCAATGGCTTTCATGGCCGGCATTACTGTAGGGGGCCTGAACTTCGGCACCTGTGTTGGACCTGGAGCGAGGAGAGGCCACGACACCCTGGGAGACTCCGAGATCGCACGACAACACAGACAAGTCGCAAACGGATTTACAAGGGACGGTGCCTGCCACAAAGCAGCTCTTGCATGCGGATCCCCAAGAACAGAAATAAAGGTAGTGTCATTCTGGTTGGGCCTCTGCAGACGCACAAAAAGCGACAACAAATCCCCGAAACAGTCGCGACTGAGAGTGACGTACCAAGAGGCTGATTGACACTAGGCTTGAATGGTCTTCCACGGATCCCCGGAGCTTTACATCGCAGATCCTTACACAACTTCCGGAAGCAGTACGCAGGCGTCTGGGGCTTTGAAGACTGGGCTCCAGTCTCTGGCCCTTTCGCTTGGCTTGCCCCCTCCGGGCTCCGGAGTCTGGAAACGTCTTCCCTGGAAGAGGATTTCAACTCGAATCTCGGTGCTTTTTGGGCGCGTGCTGGACTGGACAACCCTGCGCGGAGAGAATTGATGCCCAGAGCACAAGAGCTAAGCTCTTCAACTCCAGCACTGATCTCATGATTTCGTGGCTTGGGTTGCTGCGTGTCGGGCTTCCGTTGCAAGCTCCTAACCTTTCAGATTGTTTGTGGGGTATGGCAATGGTGGCGGGCAGTAGCGTGCCGGGACTTCGGCACGACTAAGGCTGAGCAAACCACCCTAGCTGTAGCAGGTTGTAGCAACGACTTTCTTCCCCCTCCCCAGAAATCCCTCCAAATCCCCCTAAATGCCTCTGCGCGAAGCCTCCTTGCAAAGAGAGGGCTCTGGAAGTCGGTGGCCCGGCCTGCAGGAGCAGCCGCAGCACCTCGAGGTGCCCGTTCTGTGCAGCCCGGTGGGCCGGCGTCGCTCCGTCCTTCAAAACAGAGCCACCACCTCACTTTTCTTCCGCTCTTTCCCAATCTATGCTCGGCTCAGGCCCGTCCTTCGCCGCTGCAGCGAGGTCCGCGCCAGCCTCCGCCCAGGGGCAGGGAAGGCAGTGAGGAGAGACAGGGTTGAGCGCGCTCCTCTGACTCCACTTATGCTCACAGTGGTCTGTGCAATTGCGGCTACTTCAGATTCAGAGCGGAGCCTAAGCACTTGCTTTAAAGTTTCGCCTGCGATCACTTGCCCTTGTCGGGCCCAAAACCATTTCGGTGGACATCTTCCGTAGCACAAAAAAACCTGACCCATGCAGTTTGGCCCACATATACCCGCTGCACGACTCACCCCTCCGGCCTGGCGCAGGACCTGCAGAGCCTCGAGGTGGCCGTTCTGGGCGGCTATGAAGGCGGGCGTGGCGCCCTTGTCGGTGGCCGCGCCCAGGTCGGCCCCTGCCTGGCGGGAGACTGCTCTGCGTCTTTAAAGAAAGAGAGAGAAAAACGAGCTCCGGCCGTGGCGGCCCACGTTTTTGAGAGTTCTCGGTGCCGGGGGGGTTCCCCGATCAGTGAGAAGCGCCCGGCCAGGCCCGGAAGTGAAGCACGCGAACACCACGCACATGCAGGTGCTGTTAGGGCGAGTCGCCCTGACATTCTTCGGCCCTTCGCTGCGCTGACTCCGGCAGCAAAGCTGCAGTCTGAGTTTTTCGGCCCTTGTCAGCGGAGATCGCGCCCCTCTCCCTTTTCCACGCCTCTTGCAGCAGCCGCAGCGCCGCCGCGTGGCCGTTGCACGCTGCGAGCCATGCCGGCGTGATGCCATCATCGTCTTTGGCACCCAGCTCCACCTTGGCCTCCCAAAAGCAGGCTCGCAAGGCCCCCGCAAAAGCCCACATGGAGGGCGGGTCCCTCCCTCCCGGACCCCCCGTGGCCTCGCGGAGGGCCTCCAGAGCTGCCAGGCGGCCGAACTCTGCGGCGCAGTGCGCCGGCGTCCAGTCGTCCTGGTCCTTGGCCTCTAGGTCGGCCCTGGCCTGCAAAGAAAAAGGGAAGTGCGGAAGAATCAGAGGGCGAAGAAGGCCGAAGGGCGACGGTGACTGCAAGAAGCAGCTCCCCGACTGCTGAGTTTCGCGAAATGCGTCGGAAAAATCTCGCTGGCTTCGTGCGCACGGTTTCCTTTAAGGAGTTCGGCAAAGGCCCGCACTGAGTGAGCTAGGCGAAGTGAGCAACCAAGTGCACAAACAGCAGGAATGCGCTGTGCATGCGTCCCCCTCGGCCTGTGAGAGCACAGGTTGCACGCCATCACACCACTTCCAGCTTTCGAATCTCAAGGGCACCTAACAAAGGTACAAGTTAGTTGTGGATGACGGCGAAACAATCTTCATGGAAAACTTAGACCCCGAGTCGGACTGAACGCCTCGAGGCCCTGGCTACTTCAGTTTCTGTGCAAACTCCCTAAGTACTGCTGAAAGCTTGAAAACGGGCCCACAGAAATAGCTGCGCCTTCTTTTCCTGACAACACGCTGTCTACCCCCCGGACACGTCACGCAACCGAGTCGTGTAGCTTTGGGCCCGCGCCCTTGACTGCCTAACTTTGCGGCAGTTCGGCAACTTCAGCAATACAAGATGATCAGGTTCGGGACTGGGAGATGCGAGAGAGAACGTTGACTCTGTCAGAGCCAGAGCCTTCTTGCAAGTCGTAGATGTATGCGACCCCACCCCGCCTGTGAGAGCATCCGCAAGGCCTTCCGAAAGTGGGACAAGAACATTCACTGCTGACGAGACAAAGAAATGAAGACACAACAGGCAAACCTGTTTCGGCTGGCATGGACGATCGACACGGCCCTTGACAAATGCCGTCCAGATGTCCGAGGCCTAGATCCGCGGCAATGTCTCCGACAAATCAGGGCTGACATACGGCATCTATCCAATGCACGAAATCTTGGTACTTATTCCAGAAGCCGTGTGCGTGCTGCCATGTCAAGGTCTTTGCTACGGACACACAATGACAGGCAGCTGCCCCGAGGCCTCCACATGGCCACCTCCGGCAGCTTTGTGTGCTGCAGTTGCCCCACGCGCGTCGCGGGCCTGGAAGTCCACAGCGTCCGCCTTTCGAGTCTGGAAAGACAGTGGGCTTCTGAGACATCCACCCCGGCAAGTTCACACGGGTTACCAAAGCCTGCTTGAAACGGTGCGACGTTGCTTTAGCACTCCCTCGCTCCATCCCGTCTTCACGGGAAGGGCTCCCACAAAACAGGCAAGGAAAACAAACCAAGCCACAGGCAGGACTCGTCTCCCAACATCATTCAATCCAACTGTTGCCTAAAAATCGCTGCTCGACACCAAAACTATCGTCATCAACACCCGAACGGCCCGAAGGGCCTAAAAACCTTGCGCTGACCCTCATTTTACCCTCGGTGCCGTACAACGAGTTGACACTGTTCGACTCGGTGGCGCTTTCCCGGGTCTGGCTGCATGGACGAACGGGACGCGAGAGTAATCCGAGCCATGTTGCTACAGAGGCAAGCTCGAATCCGAGATTCTCCCCCGCTGCATATGTCAAACCTCAAACCGTTGAATCGTTCAGATCTGACAGGGCGGTGTACAGATTGGGGTTGGGTATGGTTTGCCCTCTTTTCGAGGTCTGTTAACCAGTTCCCACACGAGGCAGCTGAGGAACCTTACATAGCATGCATGCACAATCAAACTCGTCAATGCCACTTCGGCATGTGGGTGTCTTCTTATATGCCGCTTCAGAACGGCATGTGGTAGAATAGCTTGACCTTTCGGTCTCGCCGCATGCATCTTCAACTCGAAGGGCATGCTGGGCAGAACGCATGTCCGTCCCCGTCCAAAGCCCGCCCACAGCCATGACTGTCTTTGCACGCAGCAGGCCTGGTGCAGCACTTCCAGAGCATCCGCGTGGCCCATCTCTGCAGCCATGTGGGCGGCCGTGATGCCATTCTCGTCCGCAGAGTCGGCCACGGCCTGCCCATCGTTTGAACAACTTTAACCCTGGGGTGCACTGCTGCTGGAGCCTCGGGAGGAGCCCCTATCTTCTGGTGCCCGTGGAGTCTTGCCTCTCTGTGTTTGACATGGATCTTCAATGTCCAAACTTGCAGCTTTGGGAAGCTCCAGGGCCGGGATTTGAGCCGGGGGCCGTGTCAACGTCCAGGAATTCAGACAAGTCTTCTGCAATTACGTCTGGGCAGGTCCACCGAACACTTGAGTGACACTCGCTGCCTGCTTGGAAAGCACTCATGGAAACGCCACAAACCAGGCTTGTGCGGTGCTTGCTTTTCGTGTCACGCCCGTCCGTCTGTCCCTCGATCAACCCCTGCTTCTCGCCCACTCTCTCTCGCTCTCTCTGCCTTCACCGTTCCATTCCATGTTCTTCGACCTCATTGAAGTGATATCACTCTTGAAACTCCTGCGCTGGTGCGTGGAAGAATGGGCCCTTGCCGCACCTGAGCTTCAGCGAGGAACCGAAGCACGTCGACGCTGCCCGACGCCGCAGCTAGATGGAGTGGACGGCGCCCCTGCTCGTCCGCGGCGTCCATGGCTTCACTGCCGCAGTGCTCGTTTAAAGCTATGAGAACCCCTACTTCGCCGCAGATAGCGGCCTCGTGCGCGGGCAGCAAGCCCTCATCGTGCGTGCGGGTTTGAGCCAAGATATGCTGCACGTTGGCCACGCTGCCCAGCCGCACCGATAGGTGCAGTGGGCCGCTGCAGAGGCCTTGAGCCACTGGGAACAAGGTCAGGTTCCAGCAGAGAAGCATCTCCGAAACGGCTGCGGTCAGCAACGTGGCCAAACTGAAGGCCACCGCTGCAGCGGCCAGAGAAGCCAGGGCTGGGCGGGCCGCGAGTGGGCCTGGCCATGCAAGGACAAGTCGGGTCTGAAGGCTGGGTTGAGGCAAATTTTTTGGTTGTGGCTGGTTTCCGCCCTTTCATGGCAGTCGAGCTGGGTACATCAGGTCGAAGTCCCGAGGTTAGAGTTCTCCCTGTTAGAAATATACTGCACAAGCAAGACCTCGACCATCTTTGCTGAAAGGCACCGTGCCGTTGCTGAAGTCAGGCCCTTAACACATTATGACTTTCAAGCTGAGGTCGGTTCAGGTCGCTCTGCTGTTGACCTGGCTACTATGTAATTTTGGCCGGCAAGGCATGTGCCGTCGGGCGCTGTGCTGCCATACTTCGCAGCAACGACCGCTGCCGCCGCGATGGTGGTCAGGTTGCGGCCAAGCAGCAGCATGCGTTGCAGCCGCAGCTGCCTTCGCAGCAATGCCTGCCTCAAGCCACAAGAAGGCATGGGCAGCATTGTCGGCTTCTCCATGCCACTTGCTACTTGGCTGCTCGGACGAACTCTGCATCCCAGGTACTGGAAGCAACCCCAAGGGATCGTGACGGCGCTGAGCAGCAGCTCCAGCATCTCCTGGGGTCGCTTCAGATTTTCCCAGGCCTTGCAGAGGACCAGCTTGTGGATCGCCGCCGACACCGCGATGTCCACCAGAATCCAAGCTGGCAACCACGGCTGCTGGATGCCGCGCCTGAGGTGGAGGCTGACTGACAATTTACAAGCTCATCGCAGTTTCCTCCTTAAGAAGTGCCCCAATCGAAACAGGGGTCCTGGAGGCATCCACTGGGCGGAGGGCCATGCCCAGGAGGGCCCAGCCACAGATGCGTCCGCCGACGTCGGCGCAGCGCCAGGCCAGCAAGCCGGCTTCTGGCAAAGCGCCAGGCTCCTTACACTTCATTTTGCGGGATCGAAGCACGACGTTGCACAGCGTTGACCAAACCATGATTAATTAGTGGGACGATAGCTTTGATGCACAAGTCGACGACTCGAGACCTCGCCTCGATAGGAAGGTTCATCCAAGGCTCGATGGTCGGTGCGCACAGCCGCCGGTAACCCTTGTTCGCCGCATCGGCCATGGATCCTAAGGAGAGGCCTAGCGACAGGACAAGGAAGAACACGCTGCCTTCCCGCGGCGCACCTGCAACTGCGAGCGCATACGCCTGTAGCAGTGAGCTTGGCAAACTCTCGCTCAATTGCGCTAGAACCTTGTCCCTCACCAGCACCACGGTTTCGGATCCCAACTGGAACGACTCGTACGCGACAAGAAGGGGCTTTATCTGTAGCACATGCAAGACCAATTCCTTAGCCCCAGGCTTAGGCTCCCCCTGCTCGTTCAGACCAGCGGCCCAAAAATCTACGTTCTTTTCGTCACTTACCCGCTCCCAACTCGCCCGGTGCAACACGAACCCCACGACCCCAGAACCCAGCGTAATGGCTATCAGCAAGCCTCCGAAAGCTATCAGGCCACTTCTGAAGTATGCCGTGGCGACGTAGATGTCCGACACCATGTCAGCGACGGAAAGCCCTAGAGAAGTGGCGATACGAAATTGCGCATGCAGCCTTTCCCGACTCTCCCCTTCATCTACACCCAGTAAACGGTAGCCTCTAGCTGTAATGTGCTTCATGCTCATGTACACGTACAATGCGCATGCGCTGGCGGCGACCAGCACGGCGAGGCCGGCAGCGCCGACCCAAGGCTTCTCCAGGAAGACCCACCTGCACCGAGGGTGGATTTGGGCGACAACTGCACACCGCAGTGTTTGGGGGTGTCGCCAATTTGCATACGGGCCGAAGGCACTCCAGATACTTAAAGCATCGTAATTTCGACCTCTTGGGGCCCGAACCGGCGATACGGAGGAAGGCCCCGCAGTGTAGCTGCACAGTCGTTTCGGAGGGCAGGTCCCGCAACTTTTTAGTTCAGGGCTTCCCGTGGGATCCATTGCTCCGAGGCCGTGCCTGAACTTGTCGGAGGCGCTGGCAGCTGCAGAGGAGACCCAGGAGACCAGCCCACCCAGGTGATGCTCCACTTCCTTGCAAGCTGTATTTGTACGAGGGAATCTGCGCAGAGGGCCTCTCCGTCCGTTCAAGATTGCAATCAAAAAAGCAAAAAACACTATGGCGCAGGAGAACGAAACTCCGAGCCAGGTGTCGGCGTAGAGGCATGGCCTCAACTGCTCAGTGGTGTCTTTGACGGTCGCATCCCAGGTGCCTGGGTGCGCAGTCAGAGCAACACAACGGCCAGCCACAGGTGGCAGCAGCAGCGTCGCTCAGGCAGTTCTACCCCGGGATCTGGTATTGAATCTTGAAGTCCACCACATCCTGAATCTGAAGCGGACCTGAGCCTGCCAAAGCTGTGCCTCCCCGAAAGCCTTCCCACGAGCTCCACGGGTCGCCTCTGCGAAGCTTTCATGCCGGAACACCCCCAACAAACTCGTGCACCAACTCCAAACCGACCCTCCTCATAGCCGGGTCTTGAGCAAGCCGCAGGGCTCCGTTCAAGCGCTTTCCAAGCTGGATTTCACCGTCAAGGCACCGAAATGGTACAGGTGAGACCGGTCTTCTCGTCAAGCCAAGGCACTTCTGAGAGACTCCAGGAAGGCTCCGGAGCCTCCGTGGAGGAGACGCCGTGGTCGTGGTCCGGGCTGCGGCTCCGAGAACCTCAATCGCGCCAGGAGGTCTTCGCACAAAATAATCCTTTGCTCCTAATGTTTTATACGTGGCGGGCCCCTCCCCAACTCCCCAAGACGAGTAGAAAGTGGAAAGGTGTGTTTATTATTAGGCTATTGCTCCTGCTCAAGCTCTTGCTCCTGCCCTGCTTTGCTCTTGCTCTCCTGAGCCCCCGAATCCAAATCAGGTTCTTTGAAAGGCAGGGATGATTTCAGGCAGAAGTCCGCAAAGTGTGCTATTGAGGGTGTTTCATGCAAGGGTGAAGTGAAGAGGCTGAGGGGAGCCGAGGCTGTGCTGAAGGGTTCCTCACTGGACATCAACAGAGCCTGAACACCGTGGGGCCATGCGGGGCTTTTGCTATCAGGGCCAGAGCCCCCGGAAAAGGGAGGGCCCCGAGAGCAGAAGCGCGAAGTCAATCCACGGATCTCGGCCCAGGGGCCATGCACTGTGAAACAAAATCGCGAGCGGCACAAAGAGGCCAAGCGCGCGGGAGATGGCCATCAGTCCTCTCAAATAGGGCTTAGGGTCTGGGGTTTAGGGTTTAGGGCAGGCGAGAGCACAGGAAGTCGTGTGGGGCTGCTTTGGGCTTTCGGGCTTGAGGCTCTCAAGACACACGCGGCCTGGCATTGCAGGAGCGCCGACGGGTGCGCAGGATATCCACAGAGGCCAATCACACCCAGAAGAATATCTTAGCTCGTTTCTGCTCTGGCTTCCAGTCTCACTGCCATCTACAATGAATCTGCAAGGTGACTACCTTTGCTGCGTGGTGTGAGAGTCTTTGGTTCACGTGCCCAGCTGCTGCTTGCTTTGGATTTGCCTTGTATCTCTTGACCTACCTTTTTGACGCATGTTGCTCCCGCGCTGCGCTGGTGGCCAATGGCAGCAGTGGGCCATAACCGTGTTGCTTGCCACGACAAGACGATTCACTTCGAACGGCGGTCCATGGCTGCGACTTGCCAGGCAACTGTTGACGGGCACAACAGTGCTGGATGCAGCAGGAACATGCAAGGCTAGTAGCCTTTAACCAAGCTGTTGTTGCATCTTTCCTCGCGACCGCCACAAGCACCTTCAGGGCTAAGGTCGCCCTTCCGTTTGGGAAGTTCGCACTGTCGGAGTTGCAGGACATCACGGGCCTGCATACGTCGTAGGTTTCTAAAGTACCGAAGTTGGTGTGGGTCGAGCTGAGGGCTCCGGCAACTGCGAGAGTACGGATCTGTCCGAAGATCTACCAAACACCGGGCGCAGCGCACAAAGACTCTGAAACCCTCGTGAGTCGCGCATGCTGCCCAAAAGTCTCTAACATCCTACCGTGGCGGCGCAGATTCCTCTCATGCCTCAGAGCGAAAAGCTCCAAGGACCGCGGGATGGAGCAGATCCCAATTTCTGACGAGTTCAGATGCGAAGCACAAGACTTGGGGCAGCACGTCGTCATGTCTCCTTGCACCAGGGAGCAGGCAACCTGGCTTCAGGCAAACTACGCCTCAATCAAAAGCATAAGCCCTAAACCCTGAACCTCAGGGAACCTTCGAGAACCCTCAATAATTCCAAAGTTCAAGGCTTCGGCTGCGGTTCGGCGTAAAAAGGGAGTCAAGAGGCCAGAAGCTCTAGCCTCTGGGTCTTCTCACTAAATACTCAGATTCCTCAAACCCTACAGCCCCCCGAAGTCCTTACATTCCCTTACTGTCTAAACTCAAGAAGCACCACATGGCAGACTGGTACCGGTTTCGGTCTTGAGGAATGTACCACCAAGGTCACTGCAAGGTTTTTGGGTTTCAGATTTAGGTCAAGGCGTTGAGTGTGCAGGGCCTTGGGTTCAGGTTTCCAGCGTTGGCTTCGGGTGCTGGCGTGCCTGAAATAATGCATTGTACACGCATGTACACGCCAGACTAACTCCGAGTATCATCATTTCAACGACATGAACAAGCACTGCACTGACTACAAGCAACCAACTTGGGACTGGCCGCGGTTGTAATTGTAATTACTAGTAAATGACTTCATACATGAATTCAGATCCAGAGAGGAGGTGCTTTTTCGAACCTGTAGCATTCGTACATTGAACCTGGGTTGGCATAGCCACGCTCGCGGCAAGCGAAGTCGTCCACTACCTTAAAGCCGACTTGGCCCATGCGATCCAAGAACGCGATCTGCGTCTGCGAGAACTCAATCGAGATCCAGAATACCTCCAAGTTGTTGGGTTCAGTTTTTACCTCATGCCATTTTCGGACTGCTGCAAAGTACGATCAAGGCTCAGCTTTGGGCTCGTGATCCCTAGCATCTCTGCTCTTTCCTTCAGGGTTCGCTTCTTGGAGAACCTTCGGGTTAAGAGGGCCCAGGGCCTAGGGATTTCAACTTTCGGGCCCTGGTGCCATGAGCACCGTGCAGAGCTGCCGGGAGCAGAGCGTCTGCAGAGCACGTAGTAGAGGGACGCTGAGGGCACCCTCGTAGAGCTGCCCGGAAATCAGCACCGTGTCCACTCCCGATGGGTTTTCAGCGACCGTCGCCAAAGAGGCCGCGTCCCGGAAGTCCAAGACGTCCGCCCGAAAGCGCGAGAAAAAAGGCTCCGGCAGGTTCGCCCGGGCAGCTCTCCGAGCCAATTGCACCGCATCCTCGCACCAGATGCACATGTTTGCTGCACCTACCTACACACACCCCCAGAGAGAGAGAGAGAGAGAGAGAGAGAGAGAGAGAGAGAGAGAGACGCACACACACACACACAATGAAACCAATGCCACACAAAAAGGTAAAATGCTATTGGCTACAACTTCGAAGAGTAGCAAACTCAGGACTCTTGCTGCATCAGGTCAGTCCCGATCAATGTCGGTGCCCTGGGCCGTGGCCGCACCTCCCAAGGCCGCCGCCAGCGATGGCAAAGCCAAGCCGCAGCCGAGCTCAAGCACTTGCCTTCCTTCCTAGGTTGGCCCCTAAAGCCTGTGAAAAATGTTCGCAAACAAGGTCCTCTTAGGCCAGATAAGGGAAAATGTAAAATGTTTCAATCGCCTACGTAGCTTCGATGGCATCTGCGGCGGTCCCTGTTTTGTCCAGCATCCAAGCAGCCAAGGCGTAGGCCGAAGGCCACATCACGTGCGCCATGACGCCTCGTGTGTCGGAGGGCTCGCGGGGCTTCTGCCAGAGTGTCCACTCCCTCCCAGCAAGCTCAAACTGCACCCGGCGTTTGGGACCATCAGCGTCCCGCCAGCAAGGCAAATGTGGTAACAGGCGCGCGTCACTGGCATAGAAGGTGCAGCAGTAAGATAAATCAAAGGGTCCCACCCAGCAATGGCTCCGTCCTGACGAGTTGCCATATTCGTTGCCGCATGCACAGCAAGACTCATAGCTGTATACTTTCGATGCAGCACCACCGAAGCAAGCCTCCATCGCGTCAGCGCGAGCGTGCCTCAACGACCCTCGCGACATTGCTGCCAGACTCAACTGCAGCAGAACTGGCCGAAGAAGGGCAGCAATGACACAGGGAAGCTCCATGCGCAAACTTGCATGCTAGGACCTGCAAGGACAACCCCCGATTGTCTAAAGCGGGTCTATTGTAGGCCTCAAGAGTCCATGGACTGATAAGCAGGCCATGATTGGTGCTGAGATTTTTGTCATGGTGGCACGGAAGGAGCAATTCAAGCATCCGCTTTGTTGAATTCACCCCCGATAGAAAAGGAAGCCTCAACCGTACAGCCAGCACTAAGCCGGGCTACACTGCCCTGAAGCTTTCACGGGCTCAGATTCGGCTTGCTTCGGTGATGACAGGGCTTGCGAGCCCAAGAAGGCAGGAAGCGGACAGGGGACTGCTCAGAAAGCCCTCGAACGGACACCTTAACAGGTGTAAGCCCGCCGCAACAAGAGGAAGACCGTACACTGCGGCCTCGCAGGCCGCAGCGCGATTGGAGCACTCAGCATGGCAGAGGGCTGGCGGCGACTTCAGGACTTCGGGATGGCTGTTTATGGATTCAAGGTTTCGGATTTCGCGTAACTGCTTCGGGTTGGGGGTGTGCAGCTGGAGGTTCAGGCGGCAAATCGAGAGTGCGATTGAGGGTCTTCGACTTCACGGCTCGGAGTTGAAGTGAAGTCGTGGCTGCATTTAAAAGAAACAAAGATTTGGGTCCCGGGACCGACTTTCGCGAGCTCTTGCAGAATGCCAACCCTGATCCAACTGAGCAGGCTGGTGCATCTCATCAACTTGCACCCACTGCGAGCTCCAAATCCCACGCTCCACAGTCTGCAATGTCGCGTCTTTCTCCGCGAAGTTGCAGGCATTCAGGGCCGCTTCACAGCCGAGACGTCCGGTCGTGTGGAGGAAAGACCCTATTCTGCCCATGGTCAGAGCCCAGCTCCTAAAGCCGAACGGCTCTATTTCGTTTCAGAGCTTCGGAGCCTCAGAGGGGCTGGCACTCTTCCAGGCGACGGCCCAGGGTTGTCAGAGAGCTTGTGCCCGAGGGGAGGAGTGTCCCATCGCCTCGGCAAGAAGGGAACGTTTTGGGGTTTCGCCTGCTGGGGCTTAAGTTTGGGGTTGCGGGTCTAGGGTTTAGGGATGTACAGTTTTCGGGCTCAAGCCCCTTTCCAGAGTTTCGGGTCTTGGACCTCGGGTTTATACGTGGTGTCTGGGGTCATTCTGCAATTCCGCTTGAGGACTCGGAGCTGCAGCGACAGGACGATTTTGCAAGGACTTCTTTGTACGGCTGTCCGAAGCCCAGCTACAGAATGCCGAAAACCATAATTGCCTGAGCGCCTCAAGCGGAAAGCCTGATTCAGTTGTGAAGGCACTGCGAAGTCACGGTCTTACGGTTCAGGGGCCTTGGGTCCCGACCCTGCAAGGCACGACTCCGGCGTGCTTCGATCATTGCGGCTCTGAGTGCCCCTTGTGGTTTCAAAGTTCTTGCAGTGAAGAAAAGAGAGAAGGTGCTCACTCAAGGCCAAG